GGGGGTCCAGAAGGCGCCTCGCGAGGAGCAGGCGCGGGAGCCCGGGTGAGCGGGAGCCCCGCACCCAGTACTGTGTGGTCTGCGACCACCCACCACGAGCCGCGCGCTTCTGCGGGACTGGGGGTCAGCGACCCGATGGTCGTGCAGTGCCGAGGTGTCACCGGTGTCCCCAGGAGTTAGCTGCTGCTGCTGCTTAAAGCTAAGGGAGTTAAGCTTAAGTCCTCCCACCAGAAGGCCCCCGGAGAGGGCTAGGTCCCCTGAGTCACGCTGGCTGTGCTTCGCAGCTGTGCCAGCTCTTTCCCCAGACCTAAACTGAGGTCCGCGGGGGAGCGAGTGGACGCGCCACTTGACAGCCTCCGGAAGAAGTCCCTGGAAGTTAGCCTCCAGCTTCTCGTCTTGCCATGTTTCGCCTCTACTTCAAGTCCTGCGCTACTACACAAATAGGAAATAACTTTCTGTCTGTTCTGTCAGAAGGACTCAGGAAGGTAAATTAGGAGGAATCCTGCAGCTCCTTCCCCGCAGGCGGCCACCATTCTCATTAGCCAGAGCTTTCATTCCCTAGTAGCAAGCTCCTGAACTGTCTGCTACTGACGGCGGGCTGTCTGTTTCCTTGAATATACTCCAGCACATGTTTTCGATAGGCTTCTCATTGTGTCATGCTCTCGAAGGCTCTCTGTCCCCTCTTTCTCAGACCTCGCATAGCTCTAGCAGGCCTCCACACGGGAGTACCTCGGCGCCCTCCTCTTCCCGCCGCAGCTCAAGCTTCTAAGGTACAGCCGCTCTCAATCTGAAAGACTCACTTGACAGACCTCTGGAGGCTGTATTTGCAAGAGAAATGAAAAATGAGAACAGACGAAAAAATAGAAAGCTAGAATAGTGTCAACACACACAAAAGTGGGATATGCATTGGAAAATTAGAAGAAAAGGAAAGGTGGACAGTAGGTAAGTGTGTAGAATTAACTAAAAAGACAACCACTAGATGATCTACTACAACTATCCAGTTCTTTCTGCAACTGGGAATGAGGGGAAATGAGGGGAAAAACCAGTTTTCAGGAAGTCAATGCAGAGGACAAGCCCAAAGAAATGTTTGGAAGTGTTAAATAATGTGTTTGAGCTCTCTGAAGTAGGGAGAACAGGTTTACTTTAACTGTCTTGAACCTCTTCAGGTCCTTTATAAACACGGAACATTAAAATGTTATATCCGGCTTACAGCCCCCAACATGCATTCACACACGTGCGTGCGGCGTGAGCTAGAAATTGTGATCAGTAATGTTCCTATCTCATATGTGAAGAAACCTAAGTGTTCAGGTATGGCAGAACTAACACTAAGAAAAAAGAAGGTGCTGCTTTTCCACATTCGAATATTTGCCGCTCAGTAGCATCAAGGGAATGAGGAAGTCTGGGAAACTCTGTAGGGTGACTTCAGGGAAGGGTACAGCAGAAGAAGGAAAGAAATGACGGTTTCCTCCCCAGTGACAAAACAATCCTCTAAAATATTAGGAAACATTTAGATTTAAACCCATTTACTAAATTAAACCAAAAGAAAGAAACAAATCTGCTTTCTTACAATATCCATGACTTACTTACTAATAAACCAAAATATTTTGGTTTAAAATAAAGTCATCACTCTAAAACAAACTTTCCACATCCACATTGCAATGTACTCTCCTATAATGGCCATTATGCATCAGTGCCCCTATACACTCTCAAGTCAACTGAAGGCGGAAGTCAAAACTGTCTTCCAAGCCCGAACAAGGAGCCGAGTGTCTCAGCAGTAGTGTCCGCACCTGCCACTGTCTTCCACTCATTAAGTGCTGCTTCAACCAAGTCTTCATAAAATATTCCTGAGGAAAATTTTATAAAACGAATTAAAATCTTAAGGGAAAAGGGACAGAATGAAAAATGACACATAAATATAAATCAAATCTATCCACTCCCTATTTGTTATTGCCCATATGGAAATCACTTTCATTCCTTCAACTTATCCTAAATTTTATCGATATATATATATATATATATATATGTAGTGTTTTAGAGCCAAATTATAAGGACTACAAAGCAAGTAACACTTCGTACAGTTTCTGATGACTGTGAATATTTTTATTTCCTCATTCTACAGGCGTACACACTCAAAACATCACAAACTTAGACAGGATAACAGGTTTCTAAATAGAGGAGCATCTTATTTAATGAAGTGATTGTACTCCCGGAATATTTTCCTTTCTTTTATTTATTCCTCACTTTCTAAGTATTGCAGCAGAGAGAACTGGATAATTGTAGTAGATCATCTAGTAGTTGTCTTTTTACTTGCAAACCCTTATCAATACTCTCAAATGTGTGTGTGTGATTGCAATTGTAATTAATCCCTAGGAATTTAAGTTTTAACATTCAGAGGAAAAAACCTTGGGACACTGGCATAATTTTAAAATCACAACACTTAAAATGTGTTCCTAAAATATTTTCTCTCATTCTGTTGGCAATGATTCTTATTGATACACTACTATAATATCCCTTGTCAATTCTCATAACACAAAATTACCCCTTAACTAGACTTTTGTTTTGCATCAACTTATTTCTGCTTATAAAATATAGTGAAACCTTCCCAGTCCTCATCAAATCCCAGGAAGTTTATATTTGTAATCCCATGGAAAGGTTATTGGAATTGAAACAAGTTAATTCTAATCTACTACCTACAGTGCAACCCAGTGCAAAATAAAGACACAATGACACACCCAAAATGGTGGGGAGTCAAGGGGGTCCTGAGTCTGGCCGCAGTGATGGTTATCCAGAACAAAGGCCTCTACCCAGGACTGAACCCAGATTTTATGCATTTGTGAAGAAGAGGGTGGCTTGAGGATGAGCATTTGTGAGAGTGGCGGGAAATACCTGAGTGCCATGAGCTGGAAATCACCTCTGCCATATGCAGAGAGAAGGATATGCAGAAAGAGTAATTTCCATAACACAGTTGAGATAGTATGTAATGTTTTGGGGTCTGTGCTTCAGTTCTGATGTGAAATCTTTGAAGCCCCAGGAAGTCATAGCCTCTATTCCCAAAGCTCAAACCCAGCTCACAGCATGGGAGTGGGGAAACATACCGGCCATCTCCAAGATTACCATCAGCACCTGGGCTAGACCAATATGCATTGCTTAAAGCCAGTTGAAGGGATAAGGAAAAGTCCCAGCCAGCTCTGTACATATCAATACATGGAAATAGGGTCGGGCTCAGGCAAAAAGGAAGTCTTCTAAGGAGAATCAAGGAGAGTTACCTAGGTGGTCCTCCACAACAAAATCCCAGTGATATATAATAACATGAATAATAAAATTTTTTAAAGTTTTGTTTTAACCAAAATAGTTTGCAAGAGGCATAGGAGTGGGGAGTTTTGGAGAGGGATGTAAAAGCGTTGGGCAAAATGTTAATGACCTATCTGAGAAAAATTAGAAAACTTCTGCATAAATGCATTTACTATTAAATATGTGGCATATGGCCAGGCAGTGGTTTTCAACCTCTAGAATACATCAAAGCTTACCTCAAACTCAAATCACTACACCCCATCCCTAAGGGGTCTGATTCAATAGTTGTTGGTTTGTGACCACACGGGTGTGTGAAATTAAAACTTAACCTTTCTTTTTAGCTGGAATAAACCTTACAGATCATCTAGTTAAATCTCTTTATAATATAAATGAGAAAACATAAGGCACTGGGAAGTTAACATTTCCAGTGTTACACATCTAGAGAAAAACAAATTAAAAGGTAATACCACTTATACATTTTGTTATTTCCTTTTGTTTGAAGAATGTCTTCTTTTTATTTATCAACTACTTTGGCCATGAATTTATATATATGCCATGAAGGG